GTTGAGCTTTTCCAGCAACTTCTGTTTTTGTTCCTTCTTCAAATTAAGTCTGAATGTTCGATAACTGTTTTTTCCAAGAGTGGAATATGCTGAAAGCACATGCCCGACGTGTCTGCACCTGTCATTAAAATGGAGAACTACGCCTTTCTGGTGCAGGCATAAGGAATTGAGAAAGAGGAAGTCTGAGAGGGAGAGAAGGCGAAATCTGGAATGATAGTTGCTGAAGTCATCAAGAGCTGAAAGCAACTATAACAGCCGTCAAGGTTGTGTAGGAAGCCTGTGAGAGGGCTGAGTAAGACAGAAAGCAAGAGTGTCTCTCCTTCAAGATGACTGGCTTGGCTGACATTACTGTACTCAATTTTGAGGCAAGGACGCCATCCACTACGTTACAATGTCTGAATCTCTCTCCACAGAGGCTGACTGCTCTGCTGAATGTTTCCAGAATTTTCTCTTTGCATCTCCAATTTTCAACATCCACAATAGTTTCTTCTTTCCAAAGCACCCACTTAAAACTCACAAGAAAACCAAAATGTGTGGGAGTAATGGATACCAATGTACTTGAACAGCCATGGTTTTGTTCTTACTTGCCTATCAGTTTCAGACGTGAGGTTGTATACAAACATCAACTGGCTTCAGTTTTGTGGCTATCTCGACGAGAAATTTATTTGCTTACGGAGCCGTAGAGTCACAGGGTTGTACAGCAGAGAGACAGACCCTTCTGTCCAACTCGTCCACGTCGACCAGATATTCGAAATTAATCTCGTCCCATTTGCCAGCATTTGGCTTGCATCCTCCTCAACCCTTCCTATTCACGTGTCCGTCCGGGTTGTAAACTATTAATAAACTTCAGCACTCTCTGTCTTATTTGTGCTGTTGGTAATGTGACTGTAAGTTTTGCAATTCATGTGAGAACTGAATTGTCTTTGTTTTTCAGGATTTCATCTTTACATCAAGCTACCCTCGATCGTACCCGAAAGCTGCCTGCTTATAATTGTGGGCCTGATAATGGGAGGAATAATCTACGGAGTGAATGAGAGATCCGCACCAGTTATGAGCACCGATATCTTTTTCCTCTACTTGCTGCCACCAATTGTGCTGGATGCAGGCTACTTCATGCCAAGTCGGCCCTTCTTTGAGAACATTGGGACGATCCTTTGGTACGCGGTTGTGGGAACCATGTGGAACGTTTTCGGAATTGGCTTGTCCCTGTACGGAATTTGCCAGATTGAATCCTTTGGCCTAAAGGACATTTCCCTCCTCTACAACTTACTGTTTGGAAGCTTGATTGCTGCTGTGGATCCAGTGGCGGTTCTGTCAGTGTTTGAGGAGATTCACGTGAACGAGCAACTGCACATTCTGGTTTTTGGCGAATCGCTTCTCAATGATGCCATCACTGTGGTGAGTAGTCCAGTGCGTGATTGGCTTCGTAGCATATTTTAACAGCAGAGCAGCTGAGCATTGTGTCAGCACTCAGAATCCTTGAACTCATTTTTCTAAGTCACAAAAAAAAAGCACTTTTTTTAAGACTAACCCCATTGTCCAACTGAAAGAAAAAGTCGCAGGAACTTCGAACACAGAAGAAGGCCATTCAGCACATTGTGGGATTGATTGATAGAGCTTTGTTCTGCGCTCCACCTTCCTTACTGACAGAGTTAGTAGATAAGGTAGTTGTTAAGGTATGTAGGTTACAAGAGTTTAGAAATAGAGGTCAGGAAATTGAAAGCAAAAAGCCATGGAACATTGTGAATGACTAGATGGGCCCCAGGTGGACAGTTCTGGGCACCTCATCAGGAGCAATACAAAAGGGAATCCATTCAGTTCTGAAGGGAAAAAAAAGAACAGTAATTCTCTTTCTGTCCATACAAACGCTGCCTGATCTGCTGAGTTTCTCCAGCACTTTCGTGTTAAATTTTAATTTCAGATTTTCGGCATTCGCCGTATTTTACTTTTATACCATTCCACATCTGATTCCTGGACACGATATTGCCCAGCTTCCTTGTACAGCTATTTATGGAATCAGTTTTCATCACCTTTTGAGGAGGAGAGGTGTAGACCAGGGCAGTTCTGAATGGGGATATTTGCTTCATCTCTCCTCTAGATCTTTTGCCAAGGATTTTAAAACTGGTCTCTGGTTACTGACCGAGATACTTAACAGAGGGAATAGTTTTCTCCCCCTACTCTACTGAAACCTCTAATTGTCATGAAATCCTTTATTAGTCCACCTTTAATCCTCCTTTTATTCCAAGGATTTTCAACATCTCCAAACAACTGGAGTTGTCATCCCATTCCACCTACTCTTTCTAAGACCGACTTAATGGCATTTGTGGAAAATATAGGCAAAATCGTAAGTAGCTTTGCAAAGAGCTAAGCTACGCACAATGACTTGCATCTATATAGCACCGTTACCATTGCATGATATCCTGACGTAATTCACAGGGACATTATCAAGCAAAACTTGGCACAAGGGACATAACGGGATGCTTAGTTAGGTAAACAAAAGCTTGGCCAAAAAACTATGTTTCAAGTAGCTTCTTAAAGTTGGAGAGGGAGACAGAGATTAGGAGTGGCTTAGGGGAGGAACCCAGAGCCTAGACCCTTGGCAAGAATTCCCTCCCTAATGGTGTTGTGCTACCTACAGCACAGGCTGTTGCATGTATGGAACGAGCTGCTAGAAGAAGAGGAGGAGGTGGGTACAATTACAGCATGTAAAAGGCATCTGGATGTGTATATGAATAAGAAGGGTTTTGAGGGATACAGGCCAAATGCCAGCAATGGGACTAGGTCAGATTGGGATGTCTGGTTGGTGCGAACGAGTTGGATCAAAGGGTCTGCTTCCATGCTGTATGACTCTATGACTCTATGACATGGACTGCAGTGGTTTAACAAGGCAACTCTTCACCACCTTTTCGAGGGGCAGCGAGGAATATGTAATAAATGTTGGCAATGCTACAATCTATGAGTCATGCTTACATCCTATGAGTCAATAAAAAGAAAGCTGAGAGCAGTGTAACTAAAATCAGGGATATACAAGAGGTCAGAACTGGATAGAAATTGTAGAGATTTTTGTAGGTCTGGAGAAGTTGTGAAAATAGGATCAGGAGAGGCCATGGACAGATTTGAGAACAAGGATAAATTTTCAACCTGGTATGTTACCAGACTGGAGTGGGACCTAAACCTCGATCCAATGTTTATATCAGTGAGAACTGGTTGATGGCATGCAAGGCTCGATTCAAGTTAAGATATGGATGTCAAGGTTTTGAATGAGCTGAAGCTGACAAATGGTGCAAGACGGCCAGGAGTTTTGACCTATATATGAACATATGGGGCAAAGATTGTCAATGCCACAGAAGCTGAAGCCGTCACATCTGATGATGGGGCAGATATGTGGCCAGAAGCTTAAAATTGCACGGAGTATGGTCCAGCCCCAGAGAGTTCCCCAGGAGATATATGGGGTTGATAGCTGCGGAACAGAGTTTCTGATGGAGATCAAAGACTTTGGTCTTGCTAATATTTAGCTGAAAGAAATTACTTCATATCGAGTACACAAAAATGACCCTTTTGCAGTATGCCTGATTCTGATCTAATTATAAGCATCTGTATCATTTTACCGATTTCCACGTGATGGTTTTCTTGGCTGCCTGGGAGCTAAAAGCACCTGCAGTAATTCATCTACTGAGAAACAAAATGCCATTTTCTCAAGATTGCAATTAGTTTATTTTGTTTTAGTGTCTGACAAATTTTACATCCAGTGGGAAGTTAAGTGCATTCCGATCACGGGGTGGGCACATTTGGCTACAAATGATTGCAGGTGGTAATTTCTTCATGACACTATTTTTAGTTATTTTAACAGCAAAGCCCCAGACATGATCCAATTCTGTGCTGAATTAGTTACATTAGTCAGAAGCATAAACGCCACAACTGGACCTCAGCATCCCTTGATTCGAGAAGGGTGACAGAAATATGCCCAGTTACCATTCTTCTGACCGTCTGTGATCGCTGGTGGAAATTATGCATCAATAATGTTTGAAGAGGGCCTGATCAGTGGGTTATTGATCGTCATTGTAAGATAGTGTGTAGACAATGGTGCAGATAATGCGTTAAGTGTAATGGTGAGGCTAACAGCTTTCACTGTTAAAATATTTAATTGAACAGTAATTTCTGGTGACTGCATATTTGTGGAGTTACATGGAATTCAGCAAGTTATTATTTGAATCCGCTTGCTCCCCAAGATATTTTGCTCTTACGCTATCTCAGTGAGAGTTGTGGCGTTTGATTGTATGAAACAGTATGAAGTTGTTGTGAAAAGATAGAAGGAAAAGCAGCAAAAAAATTAAGGCTTGTTAATTCCCATTTAATTTGACTTTTAGTCATAAAATTCCTACCGTGTGGAAGTAGAAAATTTGGCCTGTGAAGTCCACATCAACCCTTCAAAGAGCGTCCTACCCAGACTCACCACCTTACCCTATCCCTGTAGCCTTGCATTTCCCATGGCTATCCACCTGGATCCCTGGATGCTGTGGATAACTTATCATAGCCAATCCACCGAACCAGCACGTCTTTAGACTGTGGGAGGAAACCGGAGCACACGGATAAAACCCATGTAAACACAGGGAGATTGTGCGGACTCTATACAGACAGTTGTGTGAGGGTGGAATCGAACCCTGGTGACGTGAGGCAGCTGTGCTAACCACAGACTCACTGTGCTGCCCTTTAATGGCATGATAAATCTTAATTATTGCCCAAAAATCACTCGTGAATAAAAAAATTGTACAAGTGTGAAGTATTCGTCCTTTAGATTTTAATTCTTGTTGGATATTTTAAAAAACATTTAAATAAAAAGACATCTTACTTACTTATTTTATTCTATTTTTGGCCTGTCTTTTATTCCTCATTTTGCTTTCCATGCACGATTTTGCATTGAACTAACTATGCAAATATTAATTCCCTGGTTCAGACAATGCATAACTTGGTGATGATTCATGAATATGTTAAAGGCGACAGTGTTGCTTGTCCTTTTCATATAAATTCAAAGTGCCCTGTCGTGGGTGTGTGTTGAAATATATTACTAACTGCTGCAAGTTCTGGCATAAAAGCCCCTAGAAAATCTATGTGGAATTGTAGGCTTAATAGGTACGGGTAGTTTTTGTTCACCACAGATTGCAAAATTCAAGGAAATTTGGAACCTTGCAAGTGAACAATAACTCCTGCAGCCAGGTATTTCAAAGCTGCTAGCACCTCAGAGCTGACATCTTTTACAGAAATTGAAGCAAAAAGGAGGGGAGCAAACACATCTTTGGTTTACAGTCAGGCTGTCATTTTTCATGAATGCCACGCTGTACCATTCCAATCCATCTCAAGGAAGAGATGGATCAATGAAAGGTCCAGCATCCTGTGATACAAAAGATTAACACAGGACTGGCAGAATTGGGGTATCAAGAGATTCCTCAAGTAACAGACTTTTGGAAATGAGTTACAGGATTATTTCTCTCAATGTGAAAGCTTTCAAGAGCAAATTGATTGAATGGTTCCACCAAGAGCATTTAACAAACGTTATATTGATCATCATCTTGAAGAGTCACTCTAAGATGGCCAAATGCAAGTCAGGTACCTGTTTGAGAAGGGATCTAGAAAGGCTGAAGACCAACATGATCATAGTCTGGGATTTTATTCTGCTGTATTCAATTAGAGCCTTTTTGGGTGACAATAGAAAATTTCCTTCAGTTTGCAAGTTATTTTTTCAAATTGCTAGCACATTCTTTGGAATTAATGTCCATTTGAAATTGTAAATGCAACCATTTATAGCCTTGCTTTGTTTACCAAAATTATAGAAACTGTAAATGAACAGAACCCTAAGTATTTACAAAAAAAACACTGTAGTTTCTTGTTTCAACTTGGCCTAGAAATCTGTATCAGTTGTATCTGCGATTGAACACTCAACATTCTTAAGCAACATTCCTCTATCTGCTATGTTTGAGGAGGAAACTGTTGGCACACCTCTTGGAAATGGACTAATGCCGCAGCACCTAGTGAAATGTTACAATATGAACTGAATATTCATTATGACCAGTGATCATTTCTAACCTCCAAATTACAACACTATTAATTACACCCATTGTGGTTGTGCAAGAAGGCATGAAGTTGGTTCTGTCATGAAGTCAAGTCTGTAGCATCACAGAAATTTGGCCAGCATTGTGTTACTTGTGTCTTATTTTGGGTGTTTCAGACATCACAGTCAACCACAGGCTGAATGCAGACATACTAATTATATCAAAATAGTATAGAGTACCTGAAGAGACAATCTAACTAATCAAACGCAGCTACCAGATCTCTGAAATTATAGAAAATGGGAATTTGAGCTGACTAAAGACATACACTGTAATATTGTAGCCACAACGGAG